TGGCTGTGGCGCGGCTCCGCATATTCAGCATGTAGTGGGCAGTAGCCCGCTATATGCTGACTTTGGGTCACAGGATCAAAATTGGTAAATGTCCTCCTGTGACCCAAAAGAGAACCTTAGCCCAAAAAGGTTTAACTATAATTCTTTGTTAATGTCTGTTTGTCGAGGACCCTGGTGCTCAACCTGCAGCCTAGAGGCTGTATGTAGCCATTCGGCTCTTCTTGTGTTGCCCTTGCAGACACTAATCCTGTGTTTCCCGATTGCCCTGTTACAGCAGTGATCTCTAGCAGGTTCACATAATATGTCTCCAGTCTGTGTTCTTTGAAACCATGTCCCCTGTCTCCAACAACAGTCTCTTACCATCTCCTGCACTCATCTCCATATTGTGTTGCGTGTTTGCTGTCTCTGACACTAAATATTCACGGAATGTTATGTACCACCACTGATATAAGACCTAACTTTAGAGGCTGATTTATAAGTAGGGATGTCCATATACCAGTTCAGATACCCGCGCCGATACTTGGCATTTTCATGAGAACTACCAGGGTTGTAGCGGTTGCAGCTGGGACCTGGCTCTGGCGCTCCAGCACTGTCCTGAAATCATTAGTCTGTATTGTTTTAGAAAAACTGTCACATGACAATAAACAAAAAAGTATCAGTACTTGTATCTGTAAGTACTTGGACAAGTACCAGTACTTGAAGAAATGGTATCGGTGCATTACTTAATAACCACTTGAAGACCATGGTGTTTCACCCCCTTCCTGGCCAGGCCATTTTTCCGCTATTCAGCGCTGCGGTACTTTGACTGACGTTTATTCTGTCATGCAACGCTGTACTGATACGAATTTCATACCATTTTTTGGGGAATGATAGAGCTTTCTTTTGGTGGTATTTAATTACCACTCGGTTATTTATTTTTTACTATAAAATGTTATGAAACATTTATTCTCACCCCAATTTTTTGGTATAATATAAAAGATCGGGTCACGTCGGGTAAATAGACACTAAACATGTCAACCTTTAAAATTGCGCGCGCCCGCGAAATCGCAGAAAATGACCGCAGCCAAAATTGGCCATAGGCGACGCTTTAAACGTTTATATCGCTCATCAGTTTAGTGTTATCAGTGATTGATGGCCCTAGAATTATTGCTCTCACTCCGACGTTCGTGGCGATATGTAACATGTGCTGCATAATGGGCGCAATCGTCGTTTTCGTACATAGGCACACCCGACGCATGTTTGCGTGTGTATGTGGGGGGGCGGGGGACTTTTAAAAAATGTTTGTTTTTTTAAAAATTTTATTTGTGAATATTTTTTTAGCTTCTTTATTTTTTTTAATGCCGTAATGTTTTTTTTTTTAGACTTAACTTTATTGATATAACATAGGGGACTAAGAAATCCCCTATGTAATAGCCAGTTCACCAAACAGGTCCTCTTTATGGAGACATCAGGGGTCTCCAAGACCTCTGATGTCACCTAGGGACCCCCAGAGAAGCTGATGAAGCAGAGATCTGCTTCGTCAGCTTCTCTCCGGTGCACCGGAGTGAGACACTGAATGCAATGATCTCCCTTTGATCTGCGGCACACGAGAGGGGGGAGGGGCAGGACGTCTTAGACGCCCTCCCGCTCCTAGCAGACTCCCGTCTACCATGGACGGAAGGTGGTTAAAAACAAATTCGTACATTAAAACAGGGATGCACAAATCCCAGGAGCTCCGTGTGCTCCTTACAAATGAGAACTGCCTCCTAATTTTTGAATTTTTCTCTAGTGTAGTCTTGGAGCTCAAAAAGTATCGGTACTTGTACCGAACATCCCTATTTATTTGTCACCCGCCCAGCCATAAGTGTTCCGAATGCTGTTCAGACGGCATTGACGCTACTAGATGAAGCTGAGGAACATAGGAAATTTCTGCGCTCCTCGACTCCATTTAGTGGTGGGAATACCATGTGAAGGGCATCGGGCCAGCGTATGGCTGTGTGGAATATTTTTTAAATTGTCCCCTTCGTGTAGTTTATTTATTCCCTGGAATCCTAGGAAGGGTAGTAGTGTTTTTATGATGTGATGTGAAGTATCTCCTGCAAAGGGCACCTGGTTTGATATGTTAGAACCTTTCATACTTGTGTTTCAGGAGGGGCGAGGCACGTCATTGAGCAAATATATTGGTTTTATGCTTTATTTTTTAGCAGTCCTGCCTTATACCCGTTTGATATAGATATGAAAAAAACCCCCAACAAACAAAACCTTAAAACCCTGTCTATTTGGCTGGTGGTAGGTGTTCTTTGTGGGAGCTGTGATGATGCTAAAATTAACAGCCGCCTATTTAAAAAAAAAAAATGAAATGGAAAGGGTTTCTGCGCTCGTACCTTTCATTCCCATTACCCTGTGTACTTGCAGTGCAATGCAGCAGGGAATTTGTTTTAATTGTGTGTTACAGATTTGGCAAGCAAGCGCTTTCTGAATAATATACAGACTGAAAGTGATGAAAATAAAACTGCACAACGGCATTTAGCAGCCATCCACCTTTTTATAATACAGTTTTAATTGTAAAAGAGAACCTGGAGTGACTTGCATATATCTTCCCATATCAAATGTGTTGACAGAGCTCTGCAGAGCTAATACAGTCTGACAGTCTTGTAGGTCACAGTTGCTGCTTAGCAACAAATCACGTCACCAAGTAGCTGCTATCCCTTAATAATCAGAGAAAAACAAGTCTAGATTCCTTCGTAGTTGGTATGAGAACCTTTCGGGGTTTTTTTCTGTCATTTGTGCATAAAGTTTTTAATGCATACTGTAATTTTACCGTGTGACAGGCCAGTTATGTAACATGAGGCCTCTTGTATTGAAGGAGACATATCCAGATACTAGTATAGATATTGCTGACTTTCTGCAAATGCAATTGCCTATCTGCTGTACTAACCATCTTGTTTTGAAACTTTCAGTTACTAACCACCAGATATATATATCCAGTTAAAGGAGAACTATGAGGTGAGTGAAAATTACTCATACTCATAGTTTGAGCCGATGTGTGACAATGAAACTGTCACACGTCGGCTCAATAGATCGGGAAGTGAGCGAACACACACCGTTACTCGCTCACTTCTCGATCATCTCCCTGCAGAGAGCCAGCTGTCACTCATGCAGCCAGGACACACATAGTTCACTTTTTAGGAGTTTTTGACTTTACTCTGCCTTTCCTGATCTACATTCTTGTTCTAAGTCAGTGACGCCTAATGTTTTGCAGATGGTCAACATAACAGCCAGGCAACTAGCATTTTAAGAAGGTCAGCAGTGGTAGCCCCCATATTTCTTTTAGAAAAGCTTTACTTGGGCGATCGGGGGCAGATAATTTCCTGCATTCAGAGGTGGCTAAATTCCTTCTCTGGATGCAGCTGCAATCTTTCCTATGGCTCCATCCAGCCATAGGAAATCCAGTTTGTGTGCTGCCTTAAAGTGACAAAATACTCGGGGAGTTAAATCTTAAAAAGTACCTGAACTATTAACAAAAATGTATCTTATTTGTGTATCACTCAGCTGTAGATCCTCAAATCATCTCTGAATTGGTGCTGGCACTGTCCTTCCTTCTGGAGGGGGGCTACTTTTGTTCCCTATAGTCCCTGTGTGTGTTGTAAAGTAGTCACCGCTCCAAGCTCGCTCCTGTGATGGACTACAATCTTATGTTTATTTTACTAATTTGTACTTAGATTGTAGTCTGTTAAGGTACTTTACAACACACAGTGATACACGAATAAGGTACAGTATTGTTGATAGTTAAGGTACTTGAACGCATTTTTAATATTTATCTCCTGTGTTTAGTGTCACTTTAAACTCAGTTTAGTGGTTACATGTAAACAGCAGCACCGGCCATTGATTTGTACAGAGTAGAAATCTGACAGCTGTCGCCTCCGGTCACAGTTGTTTGCACACACACACACTGTATGTAGTGTTTAGCTGTTCTGGAAAGAACCACTAGATTCTCACCAGTGGCTGCCTTGAGCTGCCCGTCTGAATGGGAACTAAGTGTCTTGTGTGTCAAGAGCATGTGCAGTGACTACTTGGTTGAATAGTGATCCTTTATACTTTATATTAAGTGTGGAACTCTTGTGTCCGAGTTTGATATTTTATTTTGCTATTTATTTAGCTTTGTTGTGGTGTCTTTCTGAATAGTACTTATGGAAAAAAGTAGCATGTGGATGGCCTTTCAGTAGGATAGTGTAAAAAAAAACCAACAACAACCCAGAAGCAAGTTTAAAAAGACGTTTGACTTATGTAAGCATCTGAGCATTTAGTCTTACGGTTTTATTATTCTGCAAACTTGAATGTGAGAGATTTATATCTACCCATCGTTAATAATTTTGCATGAAAATGTCTTGGAGCACGAAGTCAAAAGGGGAGATGCCCCCTTAAGTCTGACGGTTGTTTCCCTGCCATTTGTCTGAACTAAAGCTGAGAAGACACACTGTCTACAGTATAACCATGTGACACGCAGGTATGTCGAGTAGTTTGCCACCCTCTTGCCAAAGAACATAGTTATGTAATACGCCTACACATTCCCAGAAGAATGTGTGTGTTATCAACATCAGGGAAGGCAGTTGAAAGAGCAGCAGGGTTCAGATGACTTCTTATCTCCACATCCCAGGGCCTGGAGTCATCTTCAGACAGTGCATGTTAAGCTAAATAAATTGGAAACAAAATGGACACAATATTTGATGAAAGTCAATCTGTACCCAGACTAAAGCAGATCTTGGCAGCCTGCTGGCGTTATCATGTAAACATACAGCAGGTGTTTGTAAGATATTAGACGCTGTCTAAAACCCATTTCAGAGTCTTTGTGGATCTTGGAATAAATGACTTCACATATAAATAGTTTAACGTCCGTAGTCTGGGCACGTGCACTTTAAGTTGAGATGTATTTTTCACCTCTCTAGCATTATTGGGGGAGGTACTACATATTATACATATAAAATGTTTCAAAGTGTTTTTCTTTTTGTTTTTCTCAACAGCAGCAAGGTTTCGGAAGACCAAGTGTGTATCATGCTGTGGTGGTCATCTTCCTTGAATTTTTTGCCTGGGGTCTCTTGACGACACCAATGCTAGTAGTGAGTATAACGGTTAACACGTTTTTTTTTTTTTTTCTCATGTTGGCACTCTGATACTGGAGAAAGGGGGGGCAATTGTTGCAAGCATAATATTCAGCCTCAAAAATCTTCCTATCACTGCCAACTTTTAGGACAGACAAATCTTCAGCACTTTCTGAATTCTGGAGCTTGCCCAACCCTTCCTTCCTTCTGCTCATTTTGTCAGACTTCGAGGCTACCCAATATTTTGATGGTCCAATAGAAATGCGTGGGGGCTTTGCCTGTCAGAACAGCCTGATATTTGACTATGATGGAAAGTTTTGGAGGCTGTTGTAGACAGCTCTAGGTACTTGCACTTTATACTTCTAGCAGCCCCCCCTTCTCCCATCACTACAGAGTCTCTTTAAGGCCTTGTTCACACCTAGGCGTTTCCACTTTCAAGCGTTTTTGCGTGTTTATCGTGCAGTTGTTCTCTACCTGTCTTTGCTTTTAAAAACACGCATTTCTCCCTGTATAGAGCTGTTCATGGGACCAAAACCGCACGATATCTGCCTGAAAATAGCTCCTGCATCTTTTCGCACGACAGGCAGTTTCCTACGCGAGACGCAACACTAAGGTGTGACCATTGACTTGCATGAAAATGTGTGTTTTTCGTGTGACTAGATCCACGCAGAAAAACGCTTAGGTGTGAACCAGGCCTAAAGGGTATGTTCTGCTAGTGTACGTTTTACAAAACATTTTAACATTCCCAAGCAAACAACCCTGAAAACACTTTTCTTGAAAAGCATTAGCAGTTACAGGTATATTAGGCAAAGGGACAAAAAAATACTATTACTGAACCCTAATAGCCTATCTGCAGGCAACTTTTACTGTCTAAGGTGTCTTTTATTAGTGAAATCGGCAATGACAGCTCTTATTTCTTTCAGCACAGGTTTTCTGTAAGTGCAATACAAACTTGAATGTAACTTTTCAAGCTTCAGCAGCAGGTTTGTAGTTTGGACGGGTAACACAATAATAAATTTCAGCCATTTTTACTGTCTCCCAACTCAAACTGAACTTAAATTTAATGCACTGCTACATTCTTATTCTAGTGGAAAACTTGACACCTTTTTTCATGGTTTAAAACATGAGGAAAGGTCACATTTTAGAGAACCATACATTTTCACTTTTAACCTTCAGCATATATTTATCTTGTTATTTGTTATCCTGTTACAGTTGTGCTCAAAAATTTGCATACCCTTGGAGAATTGGTAATGCATGCAAAATTTTTAAGGAAAACATGAGTGAGCAGGCAAAACACATTTCTTTTATTTCTCTACATTTTCAACTGTAGGTCATAACAGAATGGCGCAATCATAAAACAAAACATGGCAACAAATATAAAAATGAAATTACCCCTGCTTAAAAGCGTTTTTACTGTGATTTGCGGTCCACGAAACGTGCGTCAAACGCCTGTTTACGGGAGCTATCCGGCTGTATCCTAATGCATACGCGCGGAAATACGCCCCAAACAAGCTCCTGTACTTCTTTGTGCTTAGGGCTTTTTTCAGCGCATCACAACGCACTGACATACGCTCAGGTGGGATCCATACCCATAGCACATAATGGGATTTGACTGTTTGAGCGTTTTACAGCGCTTCGATCAGCGCTGTAAAACGCCCAGGTGTGGACCAGGCGTTACTGCTTAATACTGAGTATTGCCCCCTTTAGCATCAATGACAGCGTGCAGTTTTTTGTAATAGTTCTCTATGAGGCCCCGAATTCTTGCAGGTGTTGTAGCTGCCCATTCGTCTTGGCAAAATGCCTCTAGGTCATGCAAAGTCTTTGGTCGTCTTGCATGAACCGCACGTTTGAGATCTCCCCAGAGTGGCTCGATGATATTAAGGTCAGGAGACTGTGATGGCTACTCCTGAACCTTCACCTTTTTCTGCTGTAACCACTGGTGGGTCAATGTTGCCTTGTGCTTAGGGTCATTGTCGTGCTGGAAAGTCCAAGAGCTCCATGTGCAGCTTTCCTGCAGAAGAATACAAATTATCTGCCAGTATTTTCTGATATTTTGCTGCATTCATCTTGCCATCAATTTTCACAAATTGATGGCTTTAGAGCTCCCCCCCCCCCCAAAAAAAAAACATCAGTGAGCCACTACCATGCTTCAAAGTGGGGATGGTATTCTTGCTGCTTTAGGCCTTGTTGACCTCTCTCCAAACATAACACTTATATTGTAAGCAGGCTTTTTTGTGGCATTGGCACAGTAAAGGCTTCTTTCTGGCTACTCGACCATGCAGCTCATTTTTGTTCGTATCGTCGTATTGTGCTCCTTGAAACAACCACACAGTCTTTTTCCAGAGCAGCCTGTGTTTCTCCTGAGGTTACCTGTGGGGTTTTTCTTTTTATCCTGAACAATTCTCATGGCTGTTGTGGCTGCAATCTTTCTTGGTCTACCTGAAGTGATTGAACAGAACTGACTGGCATTTTCAAGGCTTTGGATATCTTTTTATATCCTTTTCCATCTTTATATAGTTCCATTACCTTGTTACGCAGGTCTTTTGACACTTCTTTTCTGCTTCCCATGGCTCAGTATCTAGCCTGCTCAGTGCATCCACGTGAGAGCTAACAAACTCATTGACTATTTATACACAGACACTAATTGCAATTTCAAAAGCCACAGATGTGAGAAATCTTTTAATTACCATTTTAACCTGTGTGTCACCTTGTGTGTCAGTCACAAGGCCAAACATTCCAGGGAACATTTTGATCAGAGCTATTTGGGTGATTTCTGTTAAAATTATGATTTCAAAAGAAGCCAAACAACAATGTGATAATACATGGCTACATATGATCACTATCCTTAAATAAAAGACAGTTTTTTGGCATGATCAGTCATATTTACAATATCAATGCCAAAATGTCATGATTTCTGCCAGGGTATGCAAACTTTTGTGCACAACGGTATGTTTTCTTAAAGGATGGGATTTCTGAAGTTATGTTTGATCTTCATTTCCTTAGGTGCTGCATGAAACATTTCCTCAGCATACGTTTCTAATGAATGGTCTCATTCAAGGAGTAAAGGTAATAAATGTTCTGAATATTTTCTGTTTCAGCAATCTATGTGTATGCTAAGTTTTTCACCTTTTAGCATTGACAAGAAATATGGGGGCTACCACAAGAGTTGTATTTCCACATGCAAAGAATTAAAAGAAACTAGGTCTCTGTCAGTAGGCAACCAGGGGTTATCCAGTCCATGAATACCTGTTATATAGATTATTTTGCTGATCATGTCTTCCATGATAATAGTGTCTAATGTTTCATCTGCTTCTTACACCTCTACTAGCAACCAGTTCACACAGGATATGTGTGAATAGAAATACTGGAGCTGCCATTGCTGGCTTGTTTTTGAAGATGACAACCACAGAGCTGTCATCCTTATCCTTCTTTCACTAGTTGATGAGTCAGTGAGTCGGAACAAAAATGTGCATATCGTTTCAACAATTAACTGATTGCTTGTCAGGAACACTCCAAACTGTAAAGCAAGGTTTAGAACGAGACTCTTAAGGACTTGTTCACATCATGCCCAGATCATGTCCAGACCAGAACAGTTTGGTCCCAGACCATAAAAGCATCCCAATGTATCCCTATGGTATTTCTGGGCTCTGTTCCTGGTACAAATACTTCTTGTCTAACTTTCTCTGGTCTGGAATGTACTGGAGCGCATGAAAACCATCAAAAACGCATGCAAACGCACTGGACCGTACCTAAAAGACAATTTGAAGCTAAAATCACTGTAAAATAGCGGTAAAAATTAGGCAAAAGTGCACTACACTGTGTTTTTTGCAGATCTGGTCCAGATACGGGGTGCCCTTAAAGTTTGGTGGAGAGGGGATTAGGGTGCGGGGTTGTTTTTCAGGGGTTGGGCTTGGGCCCTTATTTCAATTGAAGGGAACTCTTAAGACATCAGCATAACAAGACATTTTGGACAATCTAATGCTCCCAACTTTGTGGGAACAGTTTGGGGATGGCCCTTCCTGTTCCTGTTCCAACATGACTGCGCACCAGTGCACAAAGCAAGGTCCATAAAGACATGGATGAGCGAGTTTGGGGTAGAGGAACCTGACTGGACTGCACAGAGTCCTGACCTCAACCCGATAGAACAGCTTTGGGATGAATTAGAGCGGAGACTGCGAGCCAGGCCTTCTTGTCCAACATCAGTACCTGACCTCACAAATGTGCTTCTGGAAGAATGGTCAAACATTCCCGTAGACACAATCCTAAACCTTGTAGACGCTTTCCCAGGAGAATTGAAGCTGTTATAGCTGCAAAGGGTGGGCCAACTCAATATTGAACCCTACAGACTAAGACTGGAATGCCATTAAAGTTCATGTGTGTGTAATAGCAGGCGTCCAAATACTTTTAGCAGTATAGTGTATCGTATACCGTTTTTAAAGGACAAAATGAGCTTTAATTTGATGTGACATATGCATATATCAATTCTTATTTTTATTTATTTTTTATTCAAAAAAATTCACAGCTTTGGCAATAGTAATGTGTACATAATTAGCGTAGCTAATATATTTATATGTAGAAAGTAATGTATAATAATTAAAAACATCATTTTTTTTTAAACTAGGGGGCACTAAGGTTTTTTTTTTTAGTTTTTTTATTTTTTTCTAAGGGCTTTGATAGTATCTCTAAGTAGAATACAGTATTCTAATGAATTCTACTTTGTATAAGTTTGTAAACACAGCCGGCTCCAGCTGCACACAACAGTCATATGCTGCCAGCTGTGTAACTGTGACAGCTCTGCGATCACAGCGACCAGCTCTGGCTATGATCACAGAACTGTGACCCCCTTAATCTGCTGTTGAGTGTCTGACCCAGAGAAAGCCATCAACAGCAGTAACTAAATGAGCTGCTGGTCCCTTCATGAACCAGCGCTCATTGTACCGATTGACGGAATTATCCCGTCACCAGTCGTTAACGAACTGAACAATCGTGACTGGATAATTCCGACATTGGTCAGAAAGTGGTTAATCAAATGTATAGGTATACAGCCCCACTTGTTAATTGCCATCCAACTGTCATGCATGTTCTTACAAGGCTAGCAATTCCTTAATCTGTCATCTTTTTCTGTGTGGTGGTAAAAGCAATGTAGAATATAGCAAATTCTTATCAGAATCACAATGCAGATACACTGTTTCCCTAGAGCTAATATATAACAATGTATTATGGTTGCTAATAAACACTGTTGCCTAAATGTTTTACTCTGAAAATCTCCAGATACTTGTTGCCACTGCTGTTAAGGCATTTAAACTGCATTCCTCTCAGCAACTGTGATACAGAATCATTATGAAGCTCTCTCATGAATCACTACTTATTGGGCCGAGTCATCCAAGTCAAAAGTTTGTCATATACCAAATTAGAGCAAAAAACATAGAAAAATATTATGCCACAAAAGTTTATTATGGTGTTAAAGGTGTATTACTCTTAACTATTACTGTAGTATATAGTCATCTTGTGGATTTCTCATAAGATACTGCTTATTGTATCAATCCATCTAGCTCAACTGTCTCTCAAATATCAAATATTATGCACCAGTGGATGATGTAATACTATACTGCACTTCTTAATGGGTGAAGTGCATTGGTGTATGTCTTTTATTTGTATACAGGTGAAACTCGAAAAATTTAGAATATCGTGCAAAATTTCACTAATGCAACTAATTTTATTTCACTAATGCAACTTAGCCATCTACCAGGAGATTTTGGAGCACTTCATGCTTTCTTCCGCAGACGAGCTCTATGGGGATGCTGACTTCATTTTCCAGCAGGACTTGGCACCTGCCCACACTGCCAAAAATTTTCTGAGATTGTGGATCTGGGTTTTCATGAGCTGTAAGCCATAATCATCACAATTATGACAAATCACGGCTTGAATTATCTTGCTTTGCATGTAATGAGTCTATCTCATATATTAGTTTCACCTTTTAAGTTGCATTAGTGAAATAAATGAACTTTTGCACGATATTCTAAATTTTCGAGTTTCACCTGTATGTATCCTGTAACTTGGTATTTGAAAGACCTTTAATCTGCTATCAGTAGCAATCCAGGAAAGATCTTTATTACAGCAGCAGTTAAAAGATGTACAACTAATATTCACGAATGCAGTTTACCCATTAGGATGTGATGTAAAGTATTATACCAATCACTGGTACCATCATTTAACAGCAGTGGCAACAGGTGGACAGTGTCCTTGAGCTGAAGAGAGTCCAGAGAACGACAACAAAGCTAATGAAGGGGTTAGAGGACCCAAACTATGAGGAAAGACTGCATGCATTAAACTTGTTCACTCTTGAAAAGATGAGACTGAGAGGGGACATAATATTAATGTACACATTGTTTACTGGGGAAGGGATAATCGGTAATAAACGGTTTACTGTTGAAGCAGTATTAAACGCTAAAATGTTTTCCAATGATTCCAGATCAAACAAATATACATTGCCCAGCAAAGCATTACTTTAAATTTTTGCCCAAACACTTAGTCATCATGTTAATGAACAGCTGACTCCCGCTCAGCTTCCCTTACCTTCCTGTCCAGTACAAGATCACAGGCGACAGAGCAGACTCCAGCAACTGTTCATCTACTAGCTTGGGGAAGGGAGGCCAGGGGGTAGGGGAGTAGCTTGATTCACTGTGTTTGTGGAGACGCACACAGCCTACTAGTACACACCAGGGTGATTGCATAGCACTCTGCTTGAGAAAGGAGTCACTCTAAAACAGGAAGTCGGGACCAGTGCTTAATTGACCAATTGATTCTGCAGGAAACTAAATGTTTAAACATCAAAGAGCAGTATTCATTGTAAGTGATTTCATCAGCATTTGTAATGACGTAAAATCCTTTTGACATTAATACCACTTTAAATCTTAAACAGCGAAGGGGATTCTTTACTGTGAGAGCTGTAAATTTGTGGAACTCCCTTCCACAGAATTGTAGGTCCGTATGCCATACGTCCTTGGCAGCGAAAGGGTTAAGCTCAGAGTATGGAATCATTCAAGAACAGTCTTAAAACTTTTCTCAGTGAACAAGATATACAGGGGTACAGGTAATCTTAGTAACACACACAAAACCCAAAGGTTGAACTCGATGGACCTGTGTCTTTATTCAACCTTAACAACTATGTAAGTATCTGGAGATTTTCAAAATTAAAAGATTTTGGCAACTAGTGGAATGTTTATTAGCACCTATAATACATTGCAATATGCTGTCTCCAAAGAAATTGCATTTCTCCATTGTGGTTGTGATGAGGATTTGCTGTATGCTACATTGATATCACCACCACACAAAAACAAATGAGCAAGACTGAGGAAGTGCTAGCCTTGTAAGCACATGGATGATGTGCAATTAAAGAAGACAACTCTCTTTGTATTATTTTTCACAGCTCAGTCCCCTACCTCCCGCAGTATGTTGCTTTTTATCCCATGCTTCTGTGCACAGTACAAACAGGAGACATTCTCTGACAGCTCATGCCCACAACACTGTGCAGAGTAGGACTGTTAATTGACAGCTCTTATCTCACTGTCTCTGCACTTTCCAGACACAAAAACAAGGCTCCCCCTTCCGGTTCTAATGCCTGTGCTGGTTCCTCTGTGCCCCCTCACTTTGCATTCCTGTGACTCTGCTTAATATTACAATGGCCGCAGGTGGTTAATGATTTATTTGAACTTTTCTACATCCCAGGATTGGTCACCATGTGTACACTAAATGAGGAAGTTTTTTTTTTTTTTTTCCTTTCCTACAGTTTAGATGTTAACACTGCTTCCCTTTTTAGTATTGGATTTTTCAATATAGAACAAGCATACTTTCTGTGAAGTTATGCGGTCATAAAAATGTAAGATTCTTCTGTCCCAATTTCGTAATGCATACTAGGCATGCCTGGTTTTCAGGCTATTTATGTGAGTATTTTGTTGCCCTTTTGTCTCAAAGACTATTTATATATTTTGTTTAGCTCATGCACAGACTCTGAAAGGAAACATCTACTGAGAGAGTTGTCTGCCATTGGTCTTTTCCTTTTGAAA